ATTTATCAAAGTCGCGGAGTGGATTTTGAGGCAAGAAGAAGTGGTATGACAGGACGAACGTACCGTAAATACCGAGTAAAACGAACGTGCTCTTAAGAGGGTTGGCAGCAGAGGTGGTTGGTAGGGGGGGGGCGCCTACTACTACTACTACTACTACTACTACCACTACTACTACCACTACCACTACTACTACTACTACTACTACTACTACTGCTATAATCGTTACCGTTTATACATCAAGTACTTCCACCACTTCCACTTCGACTTCCACTCAAACCTCCAGGACGACGACGACGGCGAGACGACGACGATACTACTATCACAGGCGGGTAGACATCGGACGACAAATGAATCCAACAAATCTAAATAAACATAAGTCTTGATGTAATGGTCCCCTTTCGATCTACCTTGAGCCATTTTGTTTCGGATGCACAATGCAGTTGAATCTTTCTTGATTGAATTGAGTGTCCGGTCGTCACTATTTTGAATACCAGGAGAATTTCGTTCCCTTTCTGTGCGAGTTCTCTTCCAGGATTCCAATCATGAATCATGATGCCTGTGCTTGGTGTGCTGTCCTAAGTGGTACATCTTAGTAAGCGAATCGGAACCCTATCAGGGGCAGTAATCTTCCTTTTTCACTCGACTATTCAACACAGCAGCTCTTAAAGCACAGCCATGTGAGCAGGTGGAAGCTCAGGACACTTCAGCGGTCAACCAGGGATGCATCGTGTAGTGCACTTGACCATCAAGTATGTCGTGCTTGCATCCGTCAGCGAGTTTGCTCATCCAACTTTTGCCTTGGACATTGAGTCGGGCTCAATCGATTTAACTTTGATCGGGCTTCGCGGTGCTCTCCTGATCTACTTGTGTCACTTGGGTATCACACCAAGTGTAATAACAGGATGCGCGAAGGTGTGCTGGGGCTCCGGGTTTGATAAGGGATCGACACCGGGAAATTAATGCCAGGGTTGGCTCTGTTTACCGTTTGGATTTACTGTCGTAAGGACTTGAAGAAAGTCAGCAACCGGCCCTTGATTTACAAACTGCGCATGAGAAGCCAGCCGCGCATCAGCAACTTCGCTTCGGAAAGCGTCGCGCAGCTGCGACATGCACACATCGGGAACCAGAACTGCGCATCGGAAACTGCGCAGACAGCGGAAGCCGATGATAATGTCCAGAAGCAAACAGCATCCATGCCCGAACGATGATAATGCCCATGCTACCAGTGCATCCGAAATCAAGTGCCTGTATCCAAAACCAAGAGCATCCGTGCCCGAACGATGATAGCGGTGCACCCGTTCTTGGCTTCCGAATCACCCGTCTGGTTTCCGAATCAGCCGCTCTTGTTTCAATTCAGCCGTTCCGGTTTCCGAGTCATGCCTGGTTTCCGATTCAGCCGTTCTGGCTGCCGGATCTTCCGGCGATTCCAGGACGAGTACTTAGCCCGAAGCTAAAGAAGACAATAAGGGATTGTTGATTGCCAGACCAACCGAGGAAGCCGTTCGTCGAAGGGAGTAAAGAGGCCCTTCTCCTGGGAGACAGCTGGGCGGCCTATGCCGGGACAAGCCTCAAGGACCACTGTGCACCGCGACGGCTTGATTCAGATCTATTGAGGATCGTCTTTCAAGGGCGATTCTTATATTCCCTTCCCCATTCACCAAAGATGAGCATTCTACATGGCCCGACAATTTGGGTCGGTTCGGTTGTGCTGCGGGATATGCATGTGGGTGGGTGGAACAGTGAAGGTGAGTATCTTCCAAGCAGACACACCCCTGACCAGACCTGCTTGGATGTAGCATCTGTTGCTCAAAGCACAGCTTGCCTTGGCTTCAAACAGTGGTTGTAGTAACCGTAGCAAAGATCGTTGGTAACACTGATTTGTTCGCTTGTGTCTCAATTAGCGAGCCCGGAACCGCAGAATTCCTAGATGGACTCATATTTGATGTTAATCTTCCGGAGCAGCAGCTGCCAAGCAATCAGACACGCAGGTGAACGGCAGTGAAGTCGTTGGAATGGATGTAGGCTTGGAATCGGCTTGATGCATCGTCTCAATCGTTGCAGCTTGCTGAGGCCGGGTTGGCTCTCGTGGTGAACCGTGGCCTCGCAGGGACCACAGCTGCTGATTGGGCTTCCAATCTGGACTGTGCCTCTGCCCCACAATCCTTTTGCTGCCAGCATGCCGGTGAGGTAGCTCGCCGAAAATTCAACAATTATGATCACATTGCGTAACGCTACGAGCAGAGACATGAGAAGGCTTCTATAAGCCTTGCTCCTTGCAACCTCTGAACTTTTTCTGGACACCCTGGTTTCGAGAACACCGTCTTGAGTGGGAATTGAGGTGTATTCAGTATTCAGTGTATTCTTTGCAACATTTGGGTAATTAGTAATTTTTCGATTAGAAGAAGTGTTGTTCTTATTTTGATTGTCAGGCTGTCAGGGCTATGTACTCCGACATGACTTTGTTTTCTTTTACTTTTTGCGAAGCTCAATTGAGGCAAGCTGCAGCGTGTCTCAGGCTGTCGGGCTTCTCCCGTCTGAAGGATCCCGAGTGGCTTGGGTTAGCCTCGGCGGCAACGACTACATCCTATCGCATTGTAGCACAGACAGTGCATCTTTGGATAAGCTGCAGCAGGACATTGAAAAGGCTGGAAGTCGACGCCTGGAAACCTTCTTCTTTCTTGGTATGTGCTGTTGATGCGTGCTAGGTTACTAGGTTCTGTTCTTCGGATGCTTAGTCCACTTCACAAGCATAGACTACCTCCCGACAGCAGCTTATCCTTCCATTTGTTTTTGTTATTCTTCTGCTGTGGTGCTGCAGCTAATGACGCAGTTATTCATTACCGCTACTCTTGCGCCGCCCTGCGCTGCTATTACCGCCACTACCACGACTGCTACCACTGCGACGACAACACAACGACGACAAGTCACTACTACAACTGTTATGTATGAGGAGTGCTGCTGCTATTGCTCCTGCTACGGTCGCGACGACGACGATGACGACAACGAAGCGAAGGACGGGACGACGACGGCGACGCCTATTTCCGCCGTCACAGCATCCTCGGTTTGTACAGTTGTGCACACCTCAGCTCAGTAGTGTCAGTTGTAGTGTTCCAGCTGCAGGTTGCATCCTGGTGTTGGGGCTTTGTGTTTGGTTTCTGAATAAGCGAGGCGAGCATCTCATTCACAGGCTAACTGACAACATTTAAAGTATGCTCTATGCCCTGGAAAGGTCATCCGTGATCTTCAATGGCTCGCTCCTGACACTCCACTCATTGGCATGCGGGTCGGATTATGTGAATAAAACCAACATGCTGTAACCGTCACATGTGTTAGAGCTCTTGCACATCGATCTTCAGCCGAGAAGCTACGCGTCGTCGTCACCGGCTATGCTGCACCCAGCGGGCCTCTGTATTGGACCACTGGATGCGATTCGCCAGAGGCCCTCCATCCCTTGAATGAGGTCGTGCACCTTGGACGCCTCAAGTGAAGGGTTACATTTTACATAAATGCAACAGGTACTTGTAAACAAAAAGCATCATTGATAACTACTTGCATGTAGTCTAGAAAGCCCTGCCTCCTTTTTGTGCCGAGAATGGGAGCGAGGCTTTCGTATCTCAGAAGGACACGTTTTCTCTCATGCCAGGCCGGCTCTAAGCCATTATCATTAACACGGACTAAGACTCCAATGTGTGATGGAGCGAACGGCAGGACGGGACAAGACCCGAACGCCTCCGTCAGGTGCATTCGTCTAGGATCAGGCCATAGTCATGATCATTAAAGTCCTTCTCGAAAGCTTTGTGCACTGCTCTGGCCTGAGGCACAGAGCAGCTGTCGCCCAGAATGTGACCTTCGTCAACGTTTCGAGGATCGCTGGTGGCAGTTCGACAGTCCACAGCCAGCCGGAGTTTTACAAGGACTGCAGGTCTTTAATCCGGGCCGCTTCGGGCACGGATCACGATTGTGGACAGCTCAATGCTACGCCAGCACCTGGAAAGGCTCCTCACAAAAGTCGGAAAGGTGCTCATATCGTTTGTCGGCTCAGTAGCGCTGTCCCAAATCCTGGACACTTGCTCCCAGTTCATTCTCAATGGAGTTAGGTGTTGCTTGGACTGCCGACTGCTGGGAACTAGATCATCTTCATTATCGCTGCGGCAGCAAGAACACAAACAGCAGCAGCCTGTTACCAGGGCCACGACTATTATTTTTCTAACATGGCTACTTGTGTAGCTACTCGTCATGCCGCTGATCCCGTGAGTAATTACGCGTTGTAGTGCTCATGCTAGGACTTGTATTAACTAGCACTAGTACCACGGTGACATACTTGTATTACTAAATATTATCATCTTTATTACTACTGCAACGACGACTACTACTACATTGTGCCGGGAATCGAGAACCCCTAATGTGTCGCGTCAGTTTGGTAAGTTTGGTCATTTTGGTAATCTTGGTCACTTTCGTGGGGGTCAAGATGACACGTAATCTTAGTAATACCACTTGTACTACTACTTGCACCGGTACATTTACAAAGGCTCGGGTACCACTTGCACCAGTTTACCACTTGCACACCAAGATTGCCAAGATTGCGCGTCATTCCCCCCGCCCGCCCCTTCCCCCCCTAGGCTGCCACTGGGCAAAACCAAGATGAACAAAATGGCCATCATTTTGCCAGGCGTGACGGCTCCAGTTTCCCGGCACACTGCATTACTACTAATCATTGCCACAACCACCACCACCGCCACCGCCGCCACCGCCGCCGCCACCACCACCACCGCCGCGACCACCACCACAAGAACCACAACAACCAATATTGCTACTACCACGACGATTGCGACCACTGCGACCACTACCACTCTTACTCCTGCTGGTGCTGCTGCTGCTGCTACTACTACTACTACTACTGCTGCTACTGCTGCTACTGTACTACTACTACTACTACTACTACGACGACGACGACGACGGCGACTACTACTACTACTACTGCTGCTGCTGCTGCTGCTGCTGCTAGTACTACTACTAGTACTACTAGTACTACTACTACTACTACGACGACGACGACTACTACTACTACTACGACGACGACTACTACTACTACTACTACTACCGCTCTTGCCGCTGCTGCTACTGCACTACTACTGCTACTTCAACAGCTTCAGATGGCTGCAATGATCGTTCGTGCTACTGTTGATTGTTCGGCCATGGATAAGGTGACTCCTTTTTGCCTGACCGCTCATCATACACACAAGTTCACGACCCGGTCATTTTTGATAGCAAACACATGTTTGAGTAGATGTCTTGAGCAGTGCAAGCAGCACTGCAGCCTAGAGCTGCTGGGGCGATGCCTTGTCTCCTCGCTTCGCTTCCACCAGACTGGAGCAGCGTGTGCAATTCAATGCAATACTACTGCTTCTGCTGACGCATCTGCTGCTGCTGCTGCTGTTACAGCCACCAGTATGAATGAGAATTAATTTTACGGCTGCTGCGGCGACCGCCACGACGGCGACGACGGCGACTACAAGAAGTACTACCACCACCACTACCACCGCCAGCACCATATTGCTGCTGCTGCTGCTTCTGCTACTGCTACTGCTACTCCTACTCTACTCCTACTCCTACTCCTACTCCTACTCCTACTCCTACTACTACTACTACTCCTCTCCCAACTGCTGGCTCTGGTCTACGAACCGCTACTGACTACCGTTTTGTTGACTAACTACTACTTGTAAGTGCTAGCTGCCAAGGCTTAGCTATTTCAGAGCCGTTATCTGTGAATTAAGAGCTGCGAAGTTCTGAGCTACTGGAGCCACTGCTGTAGTACATATCATACCCGCGACGATGACACCGACCACGCGACTACCGCTGCCATTGCCAGGACCCAATCCATCTCAACAGTCGAGGCCGGCTGTCCGACAAAGCCCCCACACCTACACCCTCCGTATATTCTGACGATTTGTTTGCTTGCAGCGAGTCCGATGTGCAGGCTACTGCAAACTGTGGACGGATCCTGTGCTTCAAGAAGCTATGGGCTGCAGCGCCCCGGCATTGCGTGGGGCTTCTTGCTAGCTCCATGCCTGGAAGAGAAGGAGGGTCCAGAGTTCTTATCAGATATGCCTGGTTGCAACGCTTTTCCTGCACCCAATCCTAATCCTGGATCGCTTGCTGGTCCTGCTCACGGCGGCTTTCTCATGCGCAGAAATGCTTGCCAAAGCATGTGCCCAGCACCATCTACTCTGTCAAGCAGAGGGATTGCTAATTCGTCCTCGCCTGCAGCGCCCATCCACAGAGGAAGAAAGATCGATTAAAACGCCTTTCGAATTCTTCAATGTTTGTTTCCTTTATTGTCCCCTTTCTCTGTGGCCGACTCAGGCAGCCGTTTTGAACATCTCCCACATGCGGAGAGCTGACACTTGTAGTCGTCCTTGAGGTCAGCGAATCGCCCTTTGCACATCAGTTGCGCAAGATCGACTCGCGAGTTAACTCACTTGAGTGACACGGACAACTTCAGCTTGAGTGCTTCTCGTTTTGCGTTTCTTCTTGCGTCTGCCTTAGCCCACGTAGCCGCACTGCGTGATCTGCCGCTATTGGATCCGAAGACTTCCCAGTAGGTGGAGGCGGCGGCACATTCAACTGTAAGCCATGCAGCCGTCCTCGAAAATTATCAAAGCGGCCAGATTGCATGGCGCTGCAACACAAGCACCAAAGTCAGTAGCCAGGCCTGAACAAACAGCACAGGGTTCTGTCTTCAACAAGCATGACACCCTTCGCCCTCATAGCTGCATTCTGCCTGCTCCAGCCCCAGCTTCTGCAGCAAACGTGTTGAGGGTATGCATGTCAGGGATAGGAATGTGATGATAGTGTTAATGATGATGGTTAAGATGATTATGCTGACGATGATGATGCTTCTGATCTTTCATGATGACGATAAATGCAGTTGAGCTGCTGGTGATGTCGATGAACCTGAAGAAGATCATGATGATGAGAGAACGCGGACTTTGATAAGAGTCACTGGACATGATGATGATGATGATGATGCATGCATGCATGATGCATGACAATCGTAAACTGTGATAGTGCTAAGGGAAACAATTGTGATGAAGATGTAGCTGCCGATTGTTGTGAGGGGCACGGAGACATTGACTGATGGCGAGCACAGGCTGTGGTGCTTGCGGTGATGTGATGCCCGACGGTCTTGATGACTGTGATCATTGTGATGTGGTCGTGATGCCACTTGGAATCATGGTGATGCTAATTGTGGCAGCGCTGCTGATGGCAACTACACTAGGTACTAATTTAGATACTAATGTTAATTTTGGCAGGCTGCTGAATTCGGTTATCTACGGGGTCATTATGGCAAACATGACGACACTTGGCAGTGCAGTTTCAGTGCATAGATATCACCATCAACGTTACATTACACTACCATTGCTGCCATCGTCACCATCATCGACCGAGCTTTGCCATGATGCCACAACCACCGCCAACGTCAACAAGACCAACAGAAACAGCAGCAGTAGAAACGGGAGGCAGCAGTACTGCAGCCATGTAAGGATGTGGCGTGAAAAAGGAGCAAGACCAGCAACAGCAGCAGTCGCGGCCGCAGTCGCAGCCGCAGTCGCAGTAGCAGCAGTAGCAGCGGCAGCGGCAGCAGGAGCAGGAGCAGGAGCAGGAGCAGCAGCAGGAGCAGGAGCAGGAGCAGGAGCAGGAGCAGCAGCAGCAGCAGCAGCAGCAGCTGTAGCCGTAGCCGTAGCGGCAGCGGTAACAGTAGCCGGAGCGGTAGCGGTAACAGTAGCAGTCGTCGTCGTCGTCGTCGTCGTAGTAGTAGTAGTAGAAGTAGTAGTAGTAGTAGCAGTAGTAGTAGTACTAGTACTAGTTTTTGTTCTGGCACTAGTACCAGTACTAGTTTTGCAGAAGTCTCTAGTTGTCGCTGGTTTTTGGCTGACCGGGATCGATAGATTCGAATACATAGAGAGAGAATCATGCTATTCACGTCGGGAGTACATTGATTTTTGACATGGTAGAGAAAATATTGTGGCTTGTGTTGAAATGGTCAGTGTGAAGTGTTTCGTGAATCAACTTAGTGTAGTTTTATGTTTCAAATGTGTCTTTAGCGTTTACACGGCTCAACTTCAGCACTGTATGAATGGGATGCTTGAGCCTGACAGCAGTCGGGAAGTTGGTTGCGACTGTAGAAGTTCAGCCATCATCGGTTTTCATGTGTGAGTGGTGCATGTAGGGCGAAATGTTGCTTATAATCGTAGTCAGTCGTAGTGTTCTGGTGCGTATCATCGCTAAGTGGCAAACCCCGGCATATCCAAGTCACTCGTGATGATCAGCGTAAACTGCCAACACGGGTCCAGGGTTGTTGCAAGCTTGAGGAATATGTGGTTGCTGGATTTCGGGCCGTCATGCATGACGAACTTCGGCCTCAAACCTGTGCTGTCGAGGTGGCATGGCGCGGAGTCGAGAAATGCCCCAGTCTGATGCCCAAGAAATGAGGGTTTGGGACAGTTTTCGCCCCTGACTTGGACTTGGTACAATTGGCTTCGCAGGTTCTGTCGAGGAGGGGGTAGGGCGTTTGCAGACTGAGTGATCTCTTGGGTTAGCGGAGCAGCAGCAGCTATGGTGGACCAAGTTCGGCATGCAGGCAGGCAGGCAGGCCTCATGCACCGAC